GCACCTAGCATAAGCATTCTAAAATTGGGAAAATTGACATGTATAGAAATGCAAGTGAATAATTTAGTCTTTGTTACTGTTTTTCAGCGAACCAGTCACCTTCTAAAAACTGCACCCATGCTTATCTCTCTCCATTTCCTTTCTTAAGAAATTCCCATAATTCAACCACCTATAATTCTGCAATTAGTAAGTATTCTTTGTTGCAATTATGATATTATGGCTTTGCAATTCTTCAAGTTCAATTCCAGAACTACTGTTCAGAAAACACAGCAGTAGCAATTGCTTTAAGAATTATAAGCAGATCATCACTTCTGCCATTGAAGCCCCATTTTGGAATTGAAGCCACAGTGTTGCATTGTCCTGGGATGTTGTTTCTTGTGTGAGTAGATCCTCTATAGTCATAACTCATTTATGATCACCTGAGGCATCAGGTTGGATTCTGTGTTCAGATGGGTCATTGTTCTACCAGTACGTATAACTTTTATTTTGGTTTTTCTCCCTAAAACTCTATGTGATACTTAAGGCACATTTCTAAGGTGAGAGTAAATATCATTGTCTTAAACCAGGTTTTGTGTTTGTTTGTTTGTGTGTGTGTGTGTACAGGTCAGGTTTGATTCCTGGCAACAGCTTTAAATAGGTAATCTGATTTTCAGTGATCTTATCCTTATCTCATCTCATATTCTATTCTCACCAATAAAGAACCTGATATCTAAAAGGAGCAAGAATGGCTCAAGGAGACACCAAAATTCTAGTATCCTGACTTGTGTGATTGGAAGGGTGGGGTAGATATAATCTAAGAACTCTGCACATATTCAAGTTCATAATACAAGTTCATGCTTAACAAAGAAAAAAAGAGTGAAGTATTTCTAGGGAAGAACTAGTCTCATGGAGGTTCAAATTAAAATTAACTTGTCAAAAACAACACTTCACTGCTAGCTGAAAAAAGATGGCCAGCATCCCTTAGTAGTGTCCTTTTATCACAGAAATTGAGTCCAATATTTTTAGGTTGAAGATTGCATTGTCCCTTTAAGTAGCATCTCAACAGTTACACCTAAAAATAAGGTAAGACGAGAATTGAGAAATGGGTTGAGTGGGGTCAAAAAATAAAAATACACTAAATTAAATCAAATTATCTTAATAAGATATTGGTGATATAGTTCCTCCCAATAGTTTAGTTTCATAGATCATATGAAAAAGATCAAGGGCAACATTTTGAGAGGAGAGGGGTGAAAAAGTCAAGACAACATGATTACTTCTTTTTTATGTGTTATATCTTAAAAAAAGAATGGTGTGGCATTTTGATTGCTTGAGCATCATCTTGACTATTTTTACCTCCACCACAAATGGTCTTTTATATATTAATCAAATATGTGATTGGTAAAATTTCAAACAGTAGTCACTGTATTGCCGATCACATCTACCCAACCCACTAGAGTGGGGAAGCAAGGAATGTTCCGGGTCCTATCCCCTAAGGAGATGCATCTGGCAGGACCCAGAAGAAGGGCCTTCTCCATGGTAGCTCCCTCTCTCAAACATCATTCCCTCAGAGGTTAGACTGGCCCCCCACTTTAGCACTCTTCTGGAAGGCGCTGAAGACCTGGTTCTACCAAAGGGCTTGGGGAACCCAGAGTGGGATTAAGTCCAGCAAATAGCTAGTTTAATGTGTGTTGTTGCTGGGGTGGAGGTGGGTTATTATATTATTTTATTTTTCCTGTTATTTTATTTTTTTATAAGGTATTTTTTGCTATTGATGTAAGCCGTCTTGAGTTGCCATGGGCAAGTAGGCAGCAATACACATTTTCTAAATAAATAAACAAGCTAGCTAGCAAGCAAGAGACCTCTTTTGGGGAATTTTTTTTTGCACCTTCTGTGTTCCAAACCCAACTCTTTGGAAGAGCTTCCTTCTCAGATTTCGAGGGCCCCACTCTATTACCATTCCAGAAGGCTATGAAGACAGGCATTGAGCTAGAATAGGAGTGAGCCCAGCAAATGTAAATGTAAATGTAGAGTTGATAAGAAACTATTTGTTGTTATGGGATATACCATATGATGTTGTGGGGTTTTCTGGCTTCTATTTTATGGAATGTTGTTGTGAGCTGCCTAGGTTGATCATGCATAGAATAGGCAGCCATACAAATTGTTTAAATGGGACTTCCAGTTTTGCGTTGCGGTGGAATAGATGTAAGAAGGCAGGGCCCTGCTTTCCATGCCCAATTTCGCCCTGCTGGGGGCCCTAAAAAGGGCCTAAAATTGCCCCAATCATGGAGAGATGGCGGTCTTTCCATTCAATTCAAGAAAAGCCCTCCAAACCAGCAGGGGAAAGGCTGGCTACATTCCTGTGGCCGGCGATTAGCTGCTGACAACCGAAGAAGAAAAAGCACCAATTAATACATCGTAAACAGCATGTTTGGAACTGGGTGAGAATATTGATCCTTTCTTTACTATTTTACAACTGAATTTCCTTGGAAAAGCTACCAAGAAGCTAAAAACCTCTGAATGTGAACGGAAGCGGTGTTTTAATTTTAATTTTAAAGCCACATTTTTGATAAATTTGAGAACTGAGATAACTGTTAAGATTTTCTCTTTGAAAAAAAAATTGACTCAAAATGTAAGAAATCAATCCTTTGTCTTAAGAGTGGAAAATGGAGTTTGAATGACATCTAGTGGTGGATTTCTGTACAGCACTATAATTTGCTTCCTTGCTGCTTGGTGACTCCAAGCTTGGGAGAACAGCTGGCAATAAAGGAAAATATTTTGGTATACTTATCACTCTGACCTTCTTGTATTATAAATACCTACTGAGCTTGGACTTTTAATCCAAGAGCTAGTGGGAGAGAAAGAAAAAGTTGATTTTGGACTAAGCCTGGCTGGGAGAGACTTTTGAGTTGTTGTCAAGGAGGTTGAACATTTTGAACACTTTGAACATTGTGATTACAACTTTACCTGACTGACAGTTTTTGGATACCTGAGGCAAAGGATCACTATAAAATATTGTTTTCAGGACTGGATCTATACTCTGGAACCTATTGGATTATAAAGGCTACATATAAAGACCAGAAAACTAGATGAAACTTTGATCTATTCTTACTGAGACTGGTGATATTAGAGGATCTCCAGGAATGATGCCTCAAGAAAAAACAAACACCTTTCAGAAGGAAATATAATCTATGCTACAACTAATTCACCAAATAATTGTTGCATACAAAGAAGGCATAAAAAGAAACCATATTGAAACTAAAAACAACAATATAAATGAACAAATCTCCAAATTAAATCTACAACTAGAAAGTCCCCAGACAACGACTACAAAGTACGAACAAATAAACCAGAAATCAGAAGACGAAGCAGAGGAAATGGATTTAGAGATGGAAGAGTTACAAGAAGAGAAATATAAATGACCATATACAAACAAAATACTGCAAGACTTAGTCATAACAATGAAAATGCAAAAGACTCTTTACCCCTTACGTCTGCAAAATACATCTGATGGCAAGGAAGAAGATTTTTAAAAATGGAATATAGAGCTGTTAGGGGAAATGTCACAACTTGGGAGACAGGGAATGAAAAGAGAAATTGAGGAAGAAGGAAATTGGAAGTTGCTTAAGGAATATAAATGGGTGGAATTCCCCATCAAAAATACCCTACCTAAATTGTCTTCCTCATGCCAAGCAATTTTCACAAAAATAGAAAGAAAATTCCTGGGTGATTTAATTGCCCTGGCTTGGAAAGCTATTGGGCAAAGAAAGAAAGCGAGAGATAGATTTAAAAAACAGAAGATTTGACCTTTTAGAGGGGGCATTTTATGTTTAAATACTTATTTGAATAAGATTAAAAGAACAGATGACCCTTAGATATAATTAGACTTTTATAATGAAAGATATGATTTAGAATTAAAATAACATTTTTTCTTCTTTCTTTTTTTTGATATGTTAAATATGAAAATAAGAGGAGGATTGATATGAATAAAACGTTTAGCTATATAAATGTAATTATTATTGAGAAAATCATAACTGACAAAGATATTTTAAATACTGATGGGAAATTAAACCTTAACAAGAGCACGAAAAACAGGATATTGATTCATGAATTGATATTATTGTTATTTTTATAATATTAGTAAAATATGATGAAGATGCTTATATCTAACTTTGTATACATCAATAGTACCAAACATTGTAACTGTGTAATGAGGGGAAAATGGGAAAATATGGGGAAGAAAGGAGGATCAGGAAAAATACTGGATTGTGTAGTACTGAACAGATTTATATTAAGGAGTTAATATCAAATATGTGAACCCAGACATCATGTTGTTTACTAAGCACTAAAGATTGTAATTCTTAAAAATCAATAAAACATTTAAAATGTACAAATTCTTTAAATAAAAAAAACTTCATGAACTCCTATTATAAAAAAAGGTCAACTGGATGAATAAAAAAAACAACACTGAGAAACATTGAGCCATCAATCACATTGCTCAGAAAGGCAATAAATTAGGCCAATTTCTGCAAAAAGGAAGCTATTTGACTAAAGAAACTCTTATTCTGAAACATCATCTCCTTTCCTCCCCCAAACTAACTTTATTTGGTTATATAAAAAAATGACATAAAATTGCAAATTATTGCATTAAAATAAATAAATAAATCTATTCCTATTCAGTTTTCTTGGAACCTTTTCCTTTACAAAGAAGTAAAAAGAAATAGGTAGATCAAATATTGAAGACAGAGTCAATTTGTAGACTCCTTAATAATTCTACTGGAATAGAAGACATACTGGTTATGTCTACCCTTAAGAGCAACCTGAGAAGAGGGAGATTATTTTCACATTTTGCAATCAATCACTCAATAACTCAATCAACAGTCAATGCCTTTCTTGAGGATACTTCTAATTCTGCAAGTTTTATGATTCAATGAAAGACATTAAGAAAAATTTGCTCTTCTTCTGACTGGCAATATCACTATGATAAAAATCAAGCTCATATACCCATTCACTCCTATTTGTTTTCCTGTTCTCAAACTCTTTTATATTTTTAGCCTTGTGAAGCATTGCCAAAACTAGAGCTGTGACATGCTGGAGAAAAAAGTTGTGATGCTTAGTTATGGAAACTATTCATATTGCAACAACACAAAGCATGTGGATTTGAAATCTGTAGCACCACTTTAGTGCATTCTTGGCCTACTACTTTGGAAATAGTCTAAGTATAAATATTACACCAAATTCCATGTTATTTATTGATAAATTATATT